TGTTCTCTATATCACACCTCTCAAGGTACCTCGCGGGGGGTCCTCTTTATCACGCCTCTCCAGGTACGGGGTCACCGCAGGCCGTGTCCTCTATATCACGCCTCTCCAGGTACCACGCGGGGTGTCCTCTATATCACGCCTCACCAGGTACCTCGCGGGGTGTCCTCTATATCACGCCTCACCAGGTACCTCGCGGGGTGTCCTCTATATCACGCCTCTACAGGTACCCCGCGGGGTGTCCTCTATATCACACCTCTCCAGGTACCCCACGGGGTGTCCTCTATATCACGCCTCTCCAGGTCCCCCGCGGGGTGTCCTCTATATCACGCCTCTACAGGTACCCCGCGGGGTGTCCTCTATATAACGCCTCTCCAGGTACCCCGCGGGGTGTCATCTATATCACACCTCTCCAGGTACCCCGCGGGGCGTCCTCCATATCACGCCTCTCCAGGTCCCCCGCGGGGTGTCCTCTTTATCACACCTCTCCAGGTACCCCGCGGGGGGGCCTCTATATCACGCCTCTCCAGGTACCTCGCGGGGTGTCCTCTTTATCACGCCTCTCAAGGTACGGGGTCACCGCAGGGCGTGTTCTCTATATCCCGCCTCTCCAGGTACCTCGCGGGGTGTCCTTTTTATCACGCTTCTCCAGGTACGGGGTCACCGCAGGGCGTGTTCCCTATATCACACCTCTCCAGGTACCTCGCGGGGTGTCCTTTTTATCACGCTTCTCCAGGTACGGGGTCACCGCAGGGCGTGTTCCCTATATCACACCTCTCCAGGTACCTCGCGGGGTGTCCTCTATATCACGCCTCCCCAGGTACCTCGCGGGGTGTCCTCTATATCACGCCTCTACAGGTACCCCGCGGGGTGTCCTCTATATCACTCCTCTCCAGGTACCCCGCGGGGCGTCCTCTATATCACGCCTCTCCAGGTACCTCGCGGGTGTCCTCTATATCACACCTCTCCAGCTACCCCACGGGGTGTCCTCTATATCACGCCTCTCCAGGTACGCCGCGGGGTGTCCTCTATATCACGCCTCTACAGGTACCCCGCGGGGTGTCCTCTATATAACGCCTCTCCAGGTACCCCGCGGGGTGGCCTCTATATCACGCCTCTCCAGGTACCTCGCGGGGTGTCCTCTTTATCACGCCTCTCCAGGTACGGGGTCACCGCAGGGCGTGTTCTCGATATAACTGAATCGTCTGGCCGCTAATTGTTCAAAATGGGATCAACTTAATGATATCTTCTCTTTACAGTTTTCACTTTGTGTTGAATTTTTACGACTTTGAAAAATATTTTTATGCTTCCTATCTGCATATGATTAGTGTGAAATCAAAGATGTTTGTTTTCTTATTAGATTATTTGATAGAAATATTGCAAACTTACTCCATTCGTATTCAACATGTTCAAGCAGACAATACTTTTACAACATTAGTGACCTGTACAGTGCGCCCCCTATTATTACAGGTATATGTTTGTTGTAAACAATAAATGTGTCGTATGTGAGTTTGGTTCTTGTTCTTTATCAACTTTAAGTCTTGCGACAAAATAAACGTTGTCTTGTATTTTATCTCTGCCTCCTCGTCTTCTATTGAACACTGGTAATAACAGGACGGAACCGCGGGTATCCCTTCGAACCTGGGTTGCTCCATTGAGACACGACATTACGAACTGTTACAAGGCTAAACATATAAACAGGATATTTACATATGTACAAAAAGCCACATTGGTCACAGGAGAATGAACAACACACATAAACAAACTGTCACATATCTGATACTTACCAAGATTACATAGTTAGGGAGTATTCTGTGTATTAAGTAATTGAACAAGCTTATATACACTAGGGTTATTTCTATAGTTACATTTTAAATACTTCCGTCTTAAATCTGTATATCTTGTGCAAACTAAAATGAAACTCGTCTTCTATGTCATTAAGATTACATTTTGTACATAATCTATTAGTTCTAACAGTGCCAACATAACGCCCAGATTCAATGTTTAATTTGTAAGCTGACAGCCTAAGTCGAGCAATTTCTTTCATATAACCGTTATTAACTGATTTTGTTAGATACGATTGTAGTATAATTGTATTGTTTAATTCTCTGTAAAGCATATCTTTAGACAAACCTGTAATTAAACTATATCCCTCTTGATTAAAAATGTCAAATAATTTTGCCTTAATAATTAAAAAAGTGAAAATTGTTTCCATTCTGAGTGTCCCAGATATATCCTAAGCCTAAACGATACAATTCATCTTTTATTTCACAGACCCATGGATCCTTGATTAGCAGCATATTTTCATAACAGGATATCAAAATACAGTTTTCGGTATTGATTAATTTGAACCAATATTAAATATTTTAAGTTTTCTTGTTACATGCAATGGATAACGGCCTAATTCGAAATATACCATCATATTCGGAGTGGATTTGCGCACACCTAGCATTTTTTTAACAAAAATCTATGATGTAGTTTGTCGATGTCGGGGCCTTTATGGAATCCCCATACTTCTGATCCGTAGTTGACTATACTACTGACATAAGTATCAAACACTGCTAATTGAGTCTCAATATTAAAATACTGTTTTTTTAACATACACCCAATAATGCAAACAATGCTTTTCTTCCTTGTTCAGATATTTTTTTCAGTGTTTGTTTAAATTTCCCATTATAATTCAATAAGATTCCAAGATAGTTGAATTCATTCATTATCTCTAACACACACCCATCGTATTCCCATTTTTCATTATCTTTTAATCTTCCCCCATTTCTAAAAACAACAATCTTGGTCTTTGAAGTATTTACAGTAAGGTCCCACTTGATAGTGTAATTTAACAATGAGTCTAGCATCTTTTGCAAACCTACAGGTGTTTCGGCAAAGATAACTGTATCATCAGCATATATAAGTAAAAATATGTTAATTAGTTGTAAGTCAATCGAAGGACATCTGTCCTCTATAAATTGCATTTCGAAATCGTTAACATACAACGAAAATAACAGAGGTGACAAAATTTCTTCTTGAAAAAGTCCAATCTGACAGTCGAAAAAATCAGCGCATACTCCGTTGTTTTTTACACAGTATCTTACATTTTTATAAAGTGATCTGATAACATTTAACATTTTGCCTTCAATACCTTCTTTGATCAACTTGTACCATAAATTCTGTCTATTGATCAGGTCAAAGCTTGGTATAGTCAATGAAACAACAGTATAGACGTTTTTTACTTTTTAGCGTTCGATTAATTAGGGCCTGTTATGTAACTATAGCATCTGTCGTTTGAATCCAAACTGAGCATCGATTATCTTCAATACAGACGTAAAAAGATGACCAATACAACGGAAAACTGAAATACCCCTGTAGTTATCAGGGTTACTTTGGTCACCTTTCTTAAATACTGGAACTATATTTCCAACTGTCCACATACGAGATAATTACCTGATTTAAACATGTGGTTTATTGTTGGTTAACATGTTTAACCGATTTAATAAAAAATGCATCTAATCATAACTGCGTTTAAAATTTCATTGCAGATCCAGGTTAGCCCTCCAAAATACCGTACACAAGGAACCTGTGGCTGTTTCTGCAGGCAGATTTTAAATAACCGTGTGCTTATTTGTAACCGTGTGCTCGTTTGTTAACGAAATTTGAAGAGCGATAAGAGAGAATCTTGTAGTTTCAAACAAAAGAAATATCACTGCATTGCATTGAGATTGGGACAAATACATATTTATTTTTTTGATAATTGTAAGAAAGTTGATCTTTTTTAAACTCCAAAATGTTTAAAAGAAAACTAGTCTTACATTGTACATGTTGAACCAACTAACGACAATGTCTGTTGTTCAATCAAATATTTTTTATATAATATATTATGCGCATATTTCAAGACCCTTATTGCTTATGCACATATAAAATAAAGGCTTTGCCAAAAGGCAATTGTACACTTCTGGGATAGAACTTAGGCATTTTTGAAATGAAAATGCTGCATAATTTTCCTATATATTATATACTCTGCATGTTCAACTGTCAACTTTAACGATATTTCTCTTTTCAAAATTGTAAACGTACAGAGAAAACATATTTACAACAGCATAGAATATCAAATGTTATTTATATGGACAAATCATGAGCCTTTTTAAATAAAATTATTTTGATAAAATTTGTATAAATTTCTTAAAATATTAATATTGTTTGTATTCATTAGTTCTGAGAATTTACAATATTTGGCATTTCATAATAGTATTTGAATAAATATAACTTCCTTTCTGTAGACAGAAAGGGACATTTTAACAAGTAGTGAAGTTCTCACCAATGTCTTGGGTATCACAATATGTACATATTCTGTTTGGTACTCTACATTATTCTTTCCTCCAGCTTCCACTATATACATAATGCAATTAATTCATTTTCAACCTCTAGATAATTTTCAAAATTACAATTTTATTTATATGTTTTTTTTAATACGCAGACTCAGCGGAATTAAAAATATCATTACTCCTCCACTTTTGTAAATCGTGGTCACTCTATATTTACTGTTTGATATTTAATACACATCACGTGACACAATTTTCCAAAAACTGGGAATTCCATATATATATATCAGTCAATCAATATTAGATTGTCTAAAAATTCTACTAGATGCTCTTTTCATCCCATTTGATTACAACAAACAATCCTTTATATCTGAATTTTTACCTCAAAATTTCAATAACTGCAAAGCTGATAATGAAATTCTCCTTGTTATAAAACAGTATATTTTCCAAATGCGATGCTTTCACAACTCCCTCAACATCAATGGACTTGTTGATGCATTACAACAATTGTACTGATATATAAGTTATCTCGTTGTGATGGAAAGTATCTAATACAGTTAACAATTAGGCCGCACGAAAGAACATTTTGAAATCAGTTCGCGGTCATTAATTTTATGTCTATTTGTCTACCGGAAAGTTTATTCTCGTCCGGATCTAATTTTATGTAGCTATATCATATATCCGGTTGTTTATGGACAGTGTTTCTTAGACACGTGAATCAGTGCGAGCGACTTTACATGTAGTGGCTTTTTGGTAAGGTATCCAGTTTCAAAATTGTTGGTAGTTATGTAGTTTTATCGGTAAAATTTATCTTAGTCTCCCGTAAAAAAACCCAGTAAACTGCTTGCGATGTCAACAACCATCTGACTTGCAACCGGATGCTGGGGATAGTGATGTCAGATTGAGTTACTCCCTCGCCACACCGTCCAGCGATCAAGATGCCGGGTATAGAAAAATTACTGCTCGGAATATTACGTTATAGAGTCAACACAAGATGGAAGCTTCTAGAACAATTTCAGCGCGTGAAAGATAACCCAGAGGTATGATTGTTCTCTGTCAAAAATGTTGCAGAGGTCATATAAATTAAAGGCCCAGTTCCCTGTCGTTTGAGCTCATGTTTGTGTGCGTGTCCAGTTTCTGTTCCGGGGTCTTTTAATTTGTTGACATCACCAATGTTTGGGTAGCAAATGTATTTTTCTTTTACATCCACACGGAGCTCTCAGTAAATGAGATATATGAATCATATATGGGTGTGCAATGCACTATTATATATGAAATAATAAGACTGCACAAACATGTCGGTTCACACTATTTTACTTGAAGCACTACTATGACATTTTGCTCTAGTTTGTTTATTTGTCAATATCCACCGTAATATAGTTTGTAGCAAATATCATAATGATATTTATCACTGAATATCCTCCTAATATAATGACTCGCAGGAAGGAAAATGCAGAGGATTAGAAACCCAGTGGCAAAACCTATGGTTTGTTGCTTTTGTGTTTACTCATTGAAGAGAAAAAGAGAGCATTATAGTCACCTGTTGATAGCTGTACATTATATCTACCTATGTTCCTTTTAGTTCATTAAATTTCCTGCCCAGCAATATCTATTTTGCATAATTTGCCTCACAAGTGACAAGCTGACCAGTGAAAATAAAGTGAATCAAAAGGAAAACAAATTAAATCAAAATGATCTGCCATGAAAACGAATGCACTATATATATGTATATTATAATTGAAAATAATTCAGTTTGAATGATCATGGTGAGAAATGTGGTCAGCAACTTCAAGAGTTTCAGAATGATATTTATCCTCCCAAATTATTAGGGTTTTTTCCTGCAATAACAATTGATGTTTGTCTCGATGAAACAAAATATGACAATATATCTTGTGATTTCACAGTTAACATTAAGAACTAGATGCTGTATCTAACATAATTATCTAACTCACAGCGTCGTGTCATGATTCACCTAGATTTACTCTACATTTCATGCATCTCATCACTTTTTATTGAATTTTCATGGAGCCAATTATTGTGCATGAAATGAAGTTTAGATGCCCTGAAAGAGAATTGCGTAATTTCTATTTTCCTGATTTGCAAGATATGGCCAGTTATTCTCAGAAAAAAACACTGCCCATATTTTGTAAGCCAAAGAACAAAATGGGAAAGTAATATTAACTTCACCTGAATAAATTGTGATACCTTGAAAAGCAGTCAACACAGATATATACAAAAATTTCAGATTATTATTTGTTGGAAAGTTTGTGATATTTAAGCCAAAGAATATTCCAATGAAAAAGGCTGAAAATGCATATAATATAGAGTAAATCGTGGCTTAATGCAAATACTCCCATCATGATGCTGCATGCAAATTTCACCTGTAAATTGTATATATTTACAGCCAACATCAGTGTTTTTCACTTGCATAGACAGTCGTGTGCTGGCTACAAAGTTTATGGACAGTCAAGTTGGTGACAACTTCGTGGTTCGCAGTGCTGGTAACTTGATTCCTCATGCATGTAACTTTAGCTACGAGACAGCCACAACAGAAGCTGGAGCTCTGGAGCTGGGCTGTATAGTGAATGGTGTCAAACATGTTGTTGTGTGTGGACACTCAGATTGTAAGGTGAGTTAATTAAGTTATAAACAATCGTCGGCTTTGCTTCACGTTTAACTATTTCCCCCTTTATCTTAACATTGATATTATAAAATTGAGGTTTTATTTCTCTATGAACTCAACTGAAACCTCAACAACATTCATGAAAGTGGGAAAAAAGGAAAATTATTTCTGTTGGAATAATTAAAAAAATCTTTTTACATTAAACCATAGATTGACTTTTTATCAAGAGAGAGTGAAATATGGTAAGCTTATTTATAACATTGTAGGCTATGAATCTGCTGTATTCCATGCGTGATTCGGTCCACAAAGTAGAAGGAGGGCCACTCAAACTGTGGCTAAAACGGCATGGCACAGCAAGTCTTGAGAAATTCAAACTTCTTAAACCAGACAATGAATACAAAGGACCTGTCCCCTTCCAGACAGCTCGCAAGTTTGAAGCCTACATCGACCCTGAAAACCGCTTCAATCTAGAGGACAAGTTATCACAGGTCTGTATTTATTTATTGGGTGTGCAATGCAATATTATATATGGGTGTGCAATGCACTATTATATATGGGTGTGCAATGTACTATTATATATGGGTGTGAAATGTACTATTATATATATGATAAGACTGCACTATTATATATGGGTGGGCAATGTACTATTATATATGGGTGTGTAATGCACTATTATATATGGGTGTGCAATGCACTATTATATATTATATAATAAGACTGCACTATTATATATGGGTGTGGAATGTACTATTATATGTATGATAAGACTGCACTATTATATATGGGTGTTGAATGTACTATTATATATATGATAAGACTGCACTATTATATATGATATAATATGACTGCACTATTATATATGGGTGTGTAATGTACTATTATATTTGGGTGTGCAATGCACTATTATATTTGGGTGTGTAATGCACTATTATATTTGGGTGTGTAATGCACTATTATATATGGGTGTGCAATGTACTATTATATATGGGTGTGTAATGCACTATTATATATGGGTGTGTAATGTACTATTATATATGGGTGTGCAATGCACTATTATATATGGGTGTGTAATGCACTATTATATATGGGTGTGTAATGTACTATTATATATGGGTGTGCAATGTACTATTATATATGGGTGTGTAATGCACTATTATATATGGGTGTGTAATGTACTATTATATATGGGTGTGCAATGTACTATTATATATGGGTGTGCAATGCACTATTATATTTGGGTGTGCAATGTACTATTATATATGGGTGTGTAATGCACTATTATATTTGGGTGTGTAATGTACTATTATATATGGGTGTGCAATGCACTATTATATATGGGTGTGCAATGCACTATTATGTAGTGGTGTGCTATGTACTATTATATATGGGTGTGCAATGCACTATTATATATGATATAATAAGACTGCACTATTATATATGGGTGTGGAATGTACTATTATATATATGATAAGACTGCACTATTATATATGGGTGTTGAATGTACTATTATATATATGATAAGACTGCACTATTATATATGATATAATAAGACTGCACTATTATATATGGGTGTGGAATGTACTATTATATATATGATAAGACTGCACTATTATATATGGGTGTTGAATGTACTATTATATATATGATAAGACTGCACTATTATATATGATATAATAAGACTGCACTATTATATATGGGTGTGGAATGTACTATTATATATGGGTGTGCAATGTACTAATGTACTATTATATTTGGGTGTGTAATGTACTATTATATATGGGTGTGTAATGCACTATTATATATGGGTGTGCAATGTACTATTATATATGGGTGTGTAATGTACTATAATATATGGGTGTGCAATGAACTATTATATATGGGTGTGTAATGTACTATTATATATGGGTGTGTAATGCACTATTCTATATCGGTGTGCAATGTACTATTATATATGGGTGTGCAGTGTACTATTATATATGATATAATAATACTGCACTATTATATATGGGTGTGGAATGTACTTTTATATATATGATAAGACTGCACTATTATATATGGGTGTTGAATGTACTATTATATATATGATAAGACTGCACTATTATATATGATATAATAAGACTGCACTGTTATATATGGGTGTGTAATGCACTATTATATATGTGTGTAATGCACTATTATATATGGGTGTGCAATGTACAATTAAATATGGGTGTGTAATGTACTATTATATATGGGTGTGCAATGCACTATTATTTATGATATAATAAGACTGCACTATTATATATGGGTGTGCAATGTACTATAATATATGGGTGTGTAATGTACTATTGTATATGGGTGTGCAATTAACTATTATTTATGGGTGTGTAATGCACTATTATAAATGAGTGTGTAATGCACTATACTATTATATATGGGTGTGTAATGCACTATTCTATATCGGTGTGCAATGTACTATTATATATGGGTGTGCAATGCACTATTATATATGATATAATAAGACTGCACTATTATATTTGGGTGTGGAATGTACTATTATATATGATATAATAAGACTGCACTATTATATTTGGGTGTGGAATGTACTATTATATATGATATAATAAGACTGCACTATTATATATGGGTGTGCAATGTACTATTAGATATGGGTGTGTAATGTACTATAATATATGGGTGTGTAATGAACTATTATATATGGGTGTGTAATGTACTATTATATATGGTTGTGTAATGCACTATTCTATATCGGTGTGCAATGTACTATTATATATGGGTGTGCAATGCACTAATGTACTATTATATTTGGGTGTGTAATGTACTATTATATATGGGTGTGCAAGGAACTATTATATATGGGTGTGCAATGTACTATTATGTATGGGTGTGCAATGAACTATTATATATGGGTGTGTAATATACTATTATATATGGGTGTGTAATGCACTATTCTATATCGGTGTGCAATGTACTATTATATATGGGTGTGCAATGCACTAATGTACTATTATATTTGGGTGTGTAATGTACTATTATATATGGGTGTGCAATGTACTATTATATATGTGTGTGCAGTGCACTATTATATTTGGGGGTGTAATGTACTATTATATATGGGTGTGCAATGCACTATTATATATGATATAATAAGACTGCACTGTTATATATGGGTGTGTAATGCACTATTATATATGGGGGTGCAATGTACTATTATATATGGGTGTGTAATGCACTATTATATATGGGGGTGCAATGTACTATTATATATGGGTGTGTAATGGACTATTGTATATGGGTGTGCAATGAACTATTATTTATGGGTGTGTAATGCACTATTATAAATGAGTGAGTAATGCACTATTATATATGGATTTGCAATGTACTATTAGAAATGGGTGTGCAGTGTACTATTATATATGATATAATAAGACCACTATTATATATGGATGTGTAATGCACTATTATATATGGGTGTGTAATGCACTATCATATATGGGTGTGTAATGTACTATTATATATGGGTGTGCAATGTACTATTATATATGGGTGTGTAATGTACTATTGTATATGGGTGTGCAATGAACTATTATTTATGGGTGTGTAATGCACTATTATAAATGAGTGTGTAATGCACTATTATATATGGATATGCAATGTACTATTAGAAATGGGTGTGCAGTGTACTATTATATATGATATAATAAGACTGCACTATTATATATGGGTGTGGAATGTACTATTATATATATGATAAGACTGCACTATTATATATGATATAATAAGACTGCACTATTACATATGGGTGTGTAATGCGCTATTATATATGGGTGTGCAATGTACTATTAAATATGGGTGTGTAATGCACTATTATATATGATATAATAAGACCACTATTATATATGGGTGTGTAATGCACTATTGTATATGGGTGTGTAATGCAGTATTATATATGGGTGTGCAATGTACTATTATATATGGGTGTGTAATGTACTATTATATATGGGTGTGCAATGTACTTTTATATATGGGTGTGTAATGTACTATTATATATGGGTGTGCAAGGAACTATTATATATGGGTGTGCAATGTACTATTATATATGGGTCTGCAATGTACTATTACATATGGGTGTCCAGTTTAATATTATATATGATATAATAAGACTGCACTATTATATATGGGTGTGGAATGTACTATTATATATATGATAAGACTGCGCTATTATATATGATATAATAATAATGCACTATTATATATGGGTGTGGAATGTACTATTATATATATGATAAGACTGCACTATTATATATGATATAAGAAGACTGCACTATTATATATGGGTGTGTAATCCACTATTATATATGGGTGTGTAATGCACTATTATATATGATATAATAAGACCACTATTATATATGAGTGTGTAATGCACTATTATATATGGGTGTGTAATGCACTATCATATATGGGTGTGTAATGTACTATTATATATGGGTGTGCAATGTACTATGATATATGGGTGTGTAATGTACTATTATATATGGGTGTGCAATGTACTATTATGTATGGGTGTGCAATGAACTATTATATATGGGTGTGTAATGCACTATTATATATGGGTGTGTAATGTACTATTATATATATGATAAGACTGCACTATTATATATGATATAATAAGACTGCACTATTATATATGGGTGTGTAATGCACTATTATATATGGGTGTGCAATGTACTATTAAATATGGGTGTGTAATGCACTATTATATATGATATAATAAGACCACTATTATATATGAGTGTGTAATGCACTATTATATATGGGTGTGTAATGCACTATCATATATGGGTGTGTAATGTACTATTATATATGGGTGTGCAATGTACTATGATATATGGGTGTGTAATGTACTATTATATATGGGTGTGCAATGTACTATTATGTATGGGTGTGCAATGAACTATTATATATGGGTGTGTAATGCACTATGATATATGGGTGTGTAATGTACTATTATATATGGGTGTGCAGTGTACTTTTATGTATGGGTGTGCAATGAACTATTATATATGGGTGTGTAATGCAGTATTATATATGGGTGTGTAATGTAATATTATATATGGGTGTGCAGTGTACTTTTATGTATGGGTGTGCAATGAACTATTATATATGGGTGAGTAATGCACTATTATATATGGGTGTGCAATGTACTTTTATATATATGATAAGACTGCACTATTATATATGATATAATAAGACTGCACTGTTATATATGGGTGTGTAATGCACTATTATATATGATATAATAAGACTGCACTGTTATATATGGGTGTGGAATGTACTATTATATATATGATAAGACTGCACTATTATATATGGGTGTGCATGCTAAAAACTAAGAGATACCAAACTCTTAACTCAATTGGTTAATAATGTCTGTTACAGGTCAATTGTCTGCAGCAGTTACAGAATGTAGCCAGCTACCCGTTCATGAAGGACCTGATCTCCAGTGAGGAGGTGAAGCTCCATGCCATGTGGTTTGATATCTATACTGGCGAAGTGTTTATGTTCAGTCGAACCCAGCAGAAGTTTTTAGAGATTAATGACCAGACCATCAACCACCTGCTCCATGACGCCTACCGTAAAGTTGACAAGGTTCCAAAATCTGAGCAAAGACGAAAGTAGACAACAAACATTTTTTCTGTTAAAAATTGCAATTTGACATACACCAAGTGCACATGTTTCTAGAAAAAGCTAAAAGTCTGAATGAAACAAGGTGGCTAACCAGCTGTTGCCAGACTAGAGCTGGTGTGTAGATGAAAAAGGTAGTTAGAAATAAAGAGAACGTATGAAATAGAACAATGCAATACACCTGAAATACATGTAGTGGAAGCATACCTGGTGTGCTAGGTCGTCATCCTTCTTTGTACAAGTATGCATGCATAGTACTTCTTTAAATTTTGAATCATTTTTAAGAAAAGATATACCCGTTTTTGTTTGTTTGGCCGTTGATTTTTGCAACAAAGTCTTAGACTGCTTCATGGTCTGAAAGCCAGACACTGGTTGAGAAGTCTACGAGTGTCCGTGTTCATTCCCTGATACACATTTTTGTCTATGTTAGATATTTGTTATGTATGGGTATCCTTTTTTGACGGGTATCTCTAATAAATAAATAAAAATAAGGGCTGTGGAGGCCAAGTGGTTAAAGCATATGACATTCTGCTACAACTAGCCCGCCACCACTGGGTTGCGGGTTTCGAGACCTACGTGGGGCAGTCGCCAGGTACTGGCCATAGGTCGGTGGTTTTTCTCTGGGAACTCCGGCTTCCTCCACCACCAATACCTGGCACATCCTTAAATGACCATAGCTGTTAAAAGGACTGAAACACACACTAATAAAAATGTTCCTTATATACAGGTATCCTTATTCCTTAATATGAAGGCTATCCTTTATAGGCAGATATCCTTCATATATGGGTCTCCTTGTAGGAAGGTAACATATATTGTTGGCATCCCTTTTAGACAGGTATCTCTATTATACAGACGTAGACCGGTGTCCTTCATACAAAGGTGCTACTTATACACAGGTATTTGCTGTATGCAATCAGTTTATACATACTCTGTTAGATTTGGTCATAAAGACATAATTGTTTTCTAGATATGGTCATTAAATGCAGATATTAGGTAGTAGAGATGGCCCCTATAAACAGATATCTGTTAAGGATTTTGTTTGGTTTACTTCGGTTTTGGAGGTCAGAGATGATTTTGTACAAAGGTAACTGGAATCTTATTGTGTTCCTCAGAACTTTGATGTTGTTTGGTTTAACAAGTAACAGTCCGCAAAAATATAACAAATGCAAAAGAGTTATGAAAATCAATTTTAAAATGGAAACTTGTTAACAAATTTTGATACTTTGCATTCACAATTAATTTACTAAAAAAAACCACTTATTTGGATAAAATGCTTGTCTGATATCAACCATCTTATGAATTGTGAACCTCGATTTAATTGTGTAATTATCAAACCTACTTATGGGATACAAAATGAATGTTCAAACCTCAACTAGATTTATTTGTGTGGTACATTATTATATACTGTGTTAGAGGGAAGAGCAAGTTTTACTTAAATGCTTGTATCTAGGCTACAGATTTGTACATTACCGAGTATGTCAAATTTTTAAAAGATGTTGTAATGACTAAATAAGTTTATTTTTCAAACTTAATTTAAAATTCAAATCTGGGTACAGAAATCATTATTCAAATTTTGTTATAGAATATCACTTAACATCCTACTTTTATACATTTTAGGTGACATCAGTTTGAATGGAACATTTGTCCGAAAACTAACCATTCAATTAAAGAACAATATGTTGTAACCCCAGTTTCCAAACAGTCGGAGACTTTCCTCCTGGAACATATGTATAGAAGGCTAGAACATAAAATTTAGATTACCTCCCCTGAATAAGCTATTGTAAATAACTGATTAAGATTACTCCCCTAACATCACTTGAACACATTGCTGATGTCATTGGAACACATATCATACTAACCAAAACCCAGGAACATGTAGCTTATAATTTCTCCCCTGACTTTACCATATATACCAGAAGATTAAATTATCTCTTCTGACTTCACTTATACCACATGTAGCTTAGATGATCATCTCAACAGTAACTGATGCGATTGTCCCCTCTGATCTCAATGTGATAACTAGCTTAGATTGTTTCCTGGATATCACACACCAGTATTGATACCTCAGATGATGTTTGTCTCGCAGAACAATTTTGATAAAATAATTATAAAATGATAAATTATAACATCAATAACAGATGTTATTATAGATGAAATCAGATACATGTTTGAAAAGAATTGATTGGAAATCCATTTAGTTAATTTTCCAGATACATTCTATCATTTTTGCATTTTGTGTACCAGAAAGACATTCATTTTATATTCATCATATAACAAACCTTTTGAATATTTGGTACCAAAAATTAAGGTATGAATAAATTGAATATTAGGTACCTAATAATTTTCACTTGTGACACATGTGCTGTGCCCTGTTACACTATTTTTAGTTGCCAGTGCACAGTCATCTGTCTATCTTCACCACATGGATGAAATGGCCATATCGTGCGGTAAACTATTTTCTCTCATTTCCCTGTGTGTAAGATAGAGCTGTCCCGGGTAAGAAAGGGGTGTAGTAAATTTCTCTCGCACACCCCATTTCACGTGACGTGACGCCACAATGGCTCAACAATGACATGACGTCACAAATTTGGAACTCTCCGATGCAGCAATGCGGAAAAGGCGACGTGATCAAATTAAAACCTTTTAATATATATATATACCGTACACGTTAGAAAGATGTGATTGTTTTTCTGTGCAGGCACTGTTTGCAAATATGGGATATTCTTAATCTGGCTTGCTGATTCGTTTTCATCTAAAAAGCTCAGGAGAAAAATTGATATTTTCAAAATAGTGGCAGTCCAAACGCATTTTCATGGTTTCTAGGCTTATTCTGGTGGTTGGAATGAGAAAATATACTCTTACATGCCCAAGGGTGTAGGATAGGGACATTCAACCCTCGGGATTTTCAAATTTGGCCAAACCCTCGGGTTATACCAAATTTGAAAATCCTTCGAGTGGAATGTCCCTATCCTACACCCCTGGGCATGAAAGAGTCTTATATTCTTTGTCCGGATTCCTCCATTTAGCAAATTTTCAAAAGATGCCTCATTTCTTTGTATTTCTAGTTATTATTTCCTAGACATTAACACAGAGAAGGTATTTGTGTTTTATATTGATATATATAATAGTATATTAAGTTCAATATATGTGGCTGCTTGACTAGGCGATTATTATACGTGTGTTACCATATAAATAAGGAATACTGTTGAATGCTGTGAATCTTATCTAGCTTTTGTTTACTTTTTTTATTATATTACGGGTGCAATATACATCATACCAAGTATGTTTGAAAGGTGCATTCCATGTTAGATCAAAGAAGTATTGTGTATGTGTTCATATGTTAAAGAATGTCAGTAGCTTCTACTGGTTAGTGACTAAACCTGACAATATCTCCTGGTTAGTGACTTAACCAGACAATATCTCCTGGTTAGTGACTTAACCTGACAATATCTCCTGGTTAGTGACTTAACCAGACATTATCTCCTGGTTAGTGACTTAACCTGATAATATCTCCTGGTTAGTGACTTAACCAGGCAATATCTTCTGGTAAGTGGCTTAACCAGACAATATCTCCTGGTTAGTGACTTAACCAGACCATATCATCTGGTTAGTGACTTAACCAGGCGATTTTTTCTGATTAGTGACTTAACCTGACAATATCTTCTGGTAAGTGGCTTAACCAGACAATATCATCTGGTTAGTGACTAAACCAGACACTATCTCCTGGTTAGTGACTTAACCTGACAATATCCTCTGGTAAGTGGCTTAACCAGACAATATCATCTGGTTAGTGACTAAACCAGACACTATCTCCTGGTTAGTGACTAAACCTGACAATATCTCCTTGTTAGTGACTTAACCAGACAGTATCTCCTGGTTAGTGACAACCTGACAATATCCTCTGGTAAGTGGCTTAACCAGACAATATCTCCTGGTTAGTGACTTATCCTGACAATATCTTGTGGATAGTGACTTAACCAGACAAATATGTGTAATATCATTCCTTTTTACGGCACCAATTTATGGAAAAATAAAGATAAAGGTGTTGTTCTTTCACATTTACTGTCAAAATATTCACAAAATGAGCACTTGTACAAACGTTTTCCAATGTAACGAGGATGACTCTGAATGGTGTTATATGTATGGAATTACAATGTGACAAAACAATATGGCAGCGATAATTATACATAACGTTAGTACAAAACATTCTGCTGGCATGGCAACATGCAAAGCAATGTATCAAGCTCTGTCGGAACCCTCTTTTATTTGTGTATAGTTATTTATATTTAATTTTTGAAGACTGCTTAGTAATTGTAGTGTAATCTGAGAACAATGTAATTATTACTCTGTTTTTAATTTATTTACAGGTGCAATATCTACCAAGATTTGTTCCATTTGACTTTCGTGTGCTACACTTTCAGCATGTTTTGTAGAAGTTATGGCCGTCTATCATATATATTATGTATTGGCATTTAATCAGTACTTATTTTATCATTGACTCTCCAGTAAAATTTCCGAGATTTGATTCTGTATCAATCACAGTTTATTTCATGTACTAGTCATTAGCTTCAATGAGATAGACTTTTAACAAGGAATTGTCTCCATCACTTGACCGAAAATCTACCCATGTCGTCTTGTAGATAAATATAGTAATTCTATGTAAGTCTTGTTTGTTCATTCAATAGAATAAAACTGATAATGTATTATGGAACAGATTTTGTTTCTTTTGTAATAATATACTTTTCCATTGTAGCAATTATAAGTATTGAAGTTGGCTTTTCTGTTGGTAGATCAATAGATAAAAAGGTGATTGCAGGAAAGAAGGAAACGCTTTTAAGATATAGTTACTTTAAGTATAACAAAACAGAAGTATTATACGACAGCATTAAACACGAGGTGCGGATATAAGACCAAAACAGCTGTTCTGGAATTGATCGGGGCAAGAGGCGGAACAAACTAGACATTTTGTTGTAGATGCTAAAAAATGAAGTAATCTATATGTTGCATATGTCATTAATGTGTATCGTTACTGAATGGAATCGTGACAATATGATAACAAGTTCAAGTTGATAAATGCTTTACTGGGGACCCGTATCATACTATTTACACAGATACAAATGTATCGAAATCAGTCCTGGTTTTGTAGATTTAAACATCGTTTAAATGTTTACATGTAACACGTCGGTTCCTACCAATCCTACGTCATATTGTCCTGTTTATCATCCATGATGCGTGCTGTTTAGTTTATAAAGTGGCTAGACCAGATACTTCGTCAACAATCTATCGGTTTATATCATTCAAATATGCATATCACATACGTGAATACACACAGCATTTTACAGCGGTGCATATGACTAAATGGAACTAAATGCTTAAGGAAAGATCGCTGATGGTCATTTGTCGTCACATATAAATGTCATACAAACATTATGTATACATTTGCATGTTTCTGCTGAAAGAAATGCAAATCTACGAAGACTAATGTCGCGAAGTAAGTGTTTTGGGGTTTGCTGTTTACAGGAAGAGGAACGACAGGTCGATCCAGAATAAAATCTGGTGATATATATACAATGACGATGAAAGCATATTAATAATTTAGATATTGTTAACGACTCTTTAA